CAAAAAAGTGTGATCTAGAAAATTTCTGTAGCAAACACCAGTGAGTTTATATCTTAGCTTTTGAATGATTATCCTATATTTATTAGAAAATTGCTGAAAAGCCTACTTAATAGAATGATATAGTAGAATAATTTATTGAAGCCTCCAGAAGTAGCTAGATCAATACTTTTAAGAACAAGATCTTCATTTCAATGTTGGCATATTTGATTTGACATTTTATAGTACTTATACATATCAAGCTAACAAATTCTCCTAATAAAAATTGGCTTTTGGTCAGGAGCCAAATATTCCCATCTTAGAAGTTTAAATGTGCAATATTTATTACTATCACCCCACTACAATGCACATAGATGAATATTTTAAAAAAGAAAAGTTGGGATATATGTTGAGAAAGAATCTCCTTCTTGTCTCTAAATGAAATGAAATGATGTTTCTAAATGAAACAAATGAATTTAGGAGACTTATATGATATGATTAATGAATTGTTATTCGACAAAGTTTTTTCCAACGTGAACAAAGTTTTCCCAACATGAGGGAGAGAGATTAAGTAGCTGGAAAAGATAACATATAGAATGCATTATTATCAAGTATAGATCCTCAGATATATGGTGGTATGAACCAAAAGTTCATCAAAGAATGCATTCATGAGATATTACAAAATATCTGCCAAATGCTATTACTGACCTATTTAAGTGAGTATTACTAAATCTCATATTCCAGTTGAAAATGCTCCAATTAGTATAAATAAAAGTGAGACATGCCTGAAGCATGAGAGATTAATTGGTTCCAATATAATTATGTTGGATAAAAAGGAGTATGAAATTTAGAAGTCATATTAAGAAGGCATACGCTCTAGAAGAATGCCAAGATATAACTTATTGAAAAAAAAAGCCCCATAAGAGGTTCAAGTACCTAAAAAGTAATAAAAAGATCTCAATAAGTTATGTCACAGGAGGAAAAATGGAACCAAAAAGATAAAGTTGTCAACAATGTTTTTGATAATAATATCACGTGATTTGAAAGAGGATCTTATATGAAGATCGAAACTTGGCCAAAAGCAAAAGGAAAAGAGAAAAGATGCAATGGAAATATAATTATTATTTTAATATGTGAAAATTACGGACTTGCAGTCCAAACACATCAAATACAAAGTTATTACGTGACATATGAATACTTTTGTGAAAATAAAGAATTTCACAAAGGTCTAGTGATTATGATTAGGCATAATATTTTGTGGTGGATGCAATAATTTTTGCATATATTACTAGTTTGGCAGTATATGAAAAATGAAATATGTGTCTATTAGATATCATTATAGCCTATGCATGTGGATCACTAAATAATAAAGTTTACATTAGAATTCTTGAAGGATTTAAAATGCCGGAAGCATATATATGTATATAGAAAAAAAAATCCAATATTTGAAATATTATGTTGATTAAGATAATTTGAGTATACATATTTGGCTCAAAAAAATGTATTAGAAAATAAATAATTTCATATCTTACTTGACCTGTAGATCAAGCTATTGAATTTATCAATGATTGCAAAATGATTGATTTTTGTTATGATAATTTTGCCTGCAAAATATATTCAACTAAATAGACTAGAAGTCCCATATATTTATTCTATAATAATATTTACATATATTGTTAATATTACGTGTTATAATTTTGTTGGTAAAAATAAGTTTCTGCAAGTATGCATGTGAATAACAAAATTGAGATTGGATATGTAGTTCTATGAAATTATTTTGTTCAAATTAAACTAATCATGTCGATGCAAGATATATTATGGTACGGTGTTTTTCAGAATAACCTTTCTTTGCAGTTCTCTCAGTGCAAGTGAAGAATATATTGATAATTCCACATATCCAGAAGATATGTTAGAAAAATACATTTCAATATAATTTGATGACGACGCACTATACATAGCTCAACTAAAAAGAAGATATGCTTGAAAAAGCATTGGACGACTTGAGAAATTAGTACACTTTATTATGATAAAATGATGAAGAGCGATGCTGTTGACAAAGGGAGTAAAAGTGATATTGTCCTTAGAGAGAGTAAAGATCATGATATATTCTTTTTTCTTAACCAATATTTTGTTCCACAGGGTTTTCCTTGCATGGGTTTTAATGAGGTAGCTCCAATATATATTGTGCACTATTTTTCCTTCAGTAGGTTTTTGTCCCATTAAGTTTTTCCTAGTAAGGTTTTAATGAGGCACAATATTTGTTCTGAACATCCAAGGGGGAGTGTTATAAATATTGTATATATGTGGATGTCCATAACCCCTTACTCTTAGGATTCTTCATGGGATTCTTGATCTTTGAATGTCCTAAAACTATAATAAAGGAATATATACAACAAGTTGACTATTTTTTATGAATGAAAATAATAAGGATGATCTCAATATGTTTAAATGTCTGGTGCATAAATAATTTTGTAAGAAAAAATTAAAGTTTAAAAATTTCACTCAACTATATTTTTTTTCTATTTTTGACCAAAAAAAGAACTATATTATATGCGAAACTGGCCATTTTTTCAGCACAAGGATTAAGAAAACCACATCACGCTCACATTGACTTGCTTGTGTAGAGTTTTCCAAGTCATGCAACGAAAATATGCCCCGCACTTCATGTTCCACTACTTTGACAATATTGCATCTGCATATAACGTGTTTTTTTTTTTTTTACTAGAGCATATGAGACGTGAAAGTATTGGCATCATATCAAAAATAAAGACAAGTTAATGTGGACAGAGACGGAGTGGAGAAGATTGTTTTATGTGTATTAATGAACAGTAGAAACTGTTCATATTTGTTCTTAACGCCACTACAAAAAAACATGCTTTCAGCGACAGAATTTAGTGACGGAAAAATTCCGTCACTAATCCGTCTCTAACTCGATTTTTTAAAAAATAAAATAAAATACCACGTGGCACCTCTACTAATAAAAAGAACTATATTATATGCGAAACTGGCCATTTTTTCAGCACAAGGATTAAGAAAACCACATCACGCTCACATTGACTTGCTTGTGTAGAGTTTTCCAAGTCATGCAACGAAACTATGCCCCGCACTTCATGTTCCACTACTTTGACAATATTGCATCTGCATATAACATGTTTTTTCTTTTTAACCAGAGCATATGAGGCGTTGAAAGTATTGGCAACATATCAAAAATAAAGACAAGTTAATGTGGACAGAGACGGAGTGGAGAAGATTGTTCATGTGTATTAATGAACAGTAGAAACCGTTCATATAGTTATTCTTAACGTCACTACAAAAACACATGCTTTCAGCGACAGAATTTAGCGACGGATTAGAGACGGAAAAATTCCGTCACTAATCCGTCGCTTAACTCGATTTTTTAAAAAATAAAATAAAATGCCACGTGGCACCTCTACCAATTGCCATGTCATCACTGGGGACCACCTCCACGTGTCGCTGCCACCTCACGTCTACTGCCACGTGTGCTGTCACCTCACCTCCGCTTGCCACGTGTGGCGTCACGTGTCACACCTCTGCCTACCACGTGTGCCTGCCACCTCACCTCTGCCTGCCACGTGTGCGTCACGTGTCACCACCATGTACTTCCCTTCTCAAAGTGACTTCTCACTCTCATTGGCTTGAACCCAGGACCTCTTCCGTGTGCACGTGCAACTTTACCAGTTAAGCTACAATGAACCTGTTGACTTATTATGTAAAATTATATATATATATTATATTATTTTACACAAACAATTATATATACATATATATTATTAAAAACTAAAATTATACTATATGATAATTTTAATCATAACTATTTTAATGAAAAAATAATTTTTAAATATTTCTTTTACTATTTTTATAATGTTTTATTTTTAAAAAAATATTTTTAATATAATTTTAATTTCTAACGACACTAATTTTGAATTTTACATCATAAATAATTTTTCATAAATATTTTTTAAATTTATTTTTATTAACATTGATAAGATATACAATTTAATATATATATATTATATTACATTATATTATATTATGTATATGTGGTTTATATATTTGAAGAAAATCATTTACAATTAGTAAAAAAATCTTGTTATTCAAAAAATAACTACTATAATACAATCTAATAAATTATTCTATATAAAAAAAATTAAATGATTTAAATAGATTATGATAAACAGTATTTTTCTACTTGTATATATATCCTATATAATTTATTTTCTTAAAATTTGCAACGGAATTTGCGACGGAAACAAATTCCGTCGCTAATTTCTGACGGAATTGCAACAGAATTTCCATCGCTAATTTTTTTGACGGATTAGCGACGAAATTGTCTGACAAAAAAAGATTCAGTTGCTAAATACGGATTAGCGACGGAATTAGCGACAGACAGAAATTCCATCACTAATCCCGTCGCTAATTTGTGACGGAATTTTTTTCCGTCGCAAATTCCGTGTCTAATCAGCTGTTTTTTTGTAGTACGTTCACATTAATTACCATCAGTGTTGGGTTAGAGACCTTGTATTGCAAAAGAATTAAACTTGCATAAATGCTAAGCTAAAACAATATCTGACGCTCTGATTTTATTTCATCCAACACTAATTTTATTTATGGCACATCTAGCATCTTGGTTTTATTTTTCTGCACTCTAATCTTATTTATATGCAATGCATCCAGCATCTTAATAAACCATAAATGAATGGTATTAAAGTGCTAGATATAAGATGAAAATAACATCAGAAATGTATAAGATGTTACTTTACCCGAAATACCTATAGTCAGAAGCGTTGGAGGGATGACGAAAGTTAACGTAAAAGAAGGAAAAAGATCAGTAAAGAGAACCACCCAAGTATATAAAATTCAAGGTTGAGAATTTATTTATATCTTAGGAATACAAGTACACAGATAAGGTAGACAAGCAGAGAATGCATGGCGTCTTACTACACAGTCCTTTATTAATAGGTAGGAATTATAAGAAAACAAGGCGCAACTAACTAACTATTTATTCATGGGCAGAAGACAATCTTGTAGTTGGTTCCCCCTGGACACCTATGAGTCTTAGAATTGTTGTCAGGAAAAAGGTAAGCATCAGGGCACTTATCAGCAGGACATCGAAGGGAAAGGCTACAGCCATTAGAGGTTGGGCTGAATTCCAAGGGAATATTGAAACCATCAATCACTGAGATATCGTAAAAGTCCAAATTGTTGGGTTGGTTAAGAGAAAATTCTGTAAGTGTAGTTGGTGGTGCCCCAGAGAGTTGGCATTGGAGCACACCTCCACAATCACCTGTGTCACAATGTCCATGACCCGACCCGTCGAAGTTGCAGCCGGTTCGACCCCATATACGAGCGTCCGCGGTGCCGGGCGCTACCTGAAGGGACCACGTCTCACTGGGATTCAGCTGCCGGCCACCACCGGTTGGCAAAGACGCCGGCCACACTGTGTAGGCGCAACTGTTGGTTATCTCAAACGTGGCTGCTTCAGTGAAAGTGAAGCTAAGAGCCAGAAGGAGGAAGAAAACAAAAAGGCTTTTGGACAGTGTCATTTTTTGGAGGTAACTAAGATTGTGTAGTGATGTTGCTTTTGTGATGGTGAGGGATAGCAATAATATTAATGGGTATTTATAGGGTTCTGGGAGCTGTTGTATTTTTGAAATTTAAGCGATTATGGCATGAAGTAAATGGAAGAGTGCACAAATTAATTAGCACAGAAAATTAGAACCAATTTCGGTGCTCATCATTTTAATGAATACTATAAACACATTATATTTGAATCATTCATATTTCATTTAGATGGTCTAGGTTTGATTTTCATTTTATTTTTATTCTAAATAATTATTTTAATACGTTGAAAATCTAAAATAGAGATAATCTCTTAACTATAATTCTTTTCAAAAATAATTTTTGCTATTTAAAAATAATTAATTAAAAATTTTAAATCTAAATTGTTTAAATCAGATATATATACGATTCAGATCTGATCTGATGAGATTCAGATCTGATGAAATTATTACGCTTATCAAAATAATGAGTATGGAAACTTTTCCTCGAAAATTCATAGTTGCGGTCAAGCTGCGGGTCTGCATAAAAGATAATAATTAGTTTGGTGCAATAGATTGTCCAAAATGACTATATTGGCCTTGACTTGGAAAAAGATCGCGATTCGCGAAGACTTCTGGCTTGACTTTGAATAGTCCACACTTTTACTAAAAATAATAACTGATACTTTTTGTTGTGAAATATTATATTCCGTTTAGGGTTTTTGGACTCAATTATATGAAAAATCCTAATTAAATTGAGTTGAAATACCTAAATTTAAATTCATGCTTGCACTTTTAACAAATTTCTAATTTAGTCATGAGGTCTCATTAAGAATTTCTAAATGTTGCTAAATAATCAGGATCCTCCTCTTTAATTTGGAAGTAAAATTAATTATTTTATCGTTCTAAATAGCCCCTCATCTTTTATGACTATTGTTTGATATACAAATAATTTTACAGTGTTTTAAAATTTGTATATATAACTAAAACTTTCAAAACTATTTAATTGATGTTTATTACTGGTTGGACGCAAGTTTTCTCTTCCGTTTTGTTCATCTCTCCGGATCTGAATTTTATTATTCTTTGGATTTCTTCTACAATTTATGTTGTGATTGTTTTAGTTCTCAGATCTCAAAATTTTTAGTTGTCAGCTGTCCTAATTCTGCTTCATCTGGGATTTGCATTGAATCATCATAATGCTGGAATTTTAGCCCTTCTTTGAATCAGAGAGCAGGAATTTGCTTTTAGGCATGGCTTCTTCTTCTTTGTTTTTTGGGCATAGATGCCTGGCTAGAGTCTTAAGTTATTAAAATTATTTGCCACACCAGCTTCTTCTAACAAAATTATTTCTAATACTACTGGCCTTTATTTAGCAGTTTTAAAGATAACGAAATAATGAATTTACATAAAAATGTAAAAGGGTATAAAGGAAAAGGAAAACTTGAAGACTTAATTCAAAACTAAATAAGACTATAAGAACCTTTAAATTAATTTTTTCTCAACTTTATTTAAGGGATATTCAGTGTCCTTCCATTCAATCAACCCAACTCCATGAAAAAATTAATTACAATTGAATGTTTAACTTACTCGTTTATATTTTTAATTTTTTAGTAGTAATTCTGTTAGTGTGTATTTTGGAGATGTGTTTATGTATACCAGTTGAATGCGCAATTTCCTTGCAAGTCAATCAACTAACTTTTTAACAAATTACGTTGTGTTTGGCTCGACAGAGAGAAGGAAATGAGAGAGATTTTAATTAAGGGTGTGTTTGGTACGAGGGATTTGGGAGGGAGGGAGGAGAGGAAAAGGGAGGGATTTTAATCATTTTTCCTTATTTGGTAACACATAAATTTTAGGAGAGGAGGGAAAATTTTAAAAAAATTTTCCTCTCCTCCCCTCCTCAACCTCCCCTCCAAAATTGACAAGATTTGGAGGAAAAGGACAATATTTTGTCATGTTGTGTCCATTATGCCTATATTTTGTTATATTATGATCATTATGTCTATATTTTGACGTGCTGTGACCATTATGCCTATATCTTAAATAAAATAAGAGAAAAATTGTCCATATTAAAACATTTTTTCCCTCCCCTCCCCTCTTTTTTTATAAATTCAAATAAGATAATATTAAAATCTTTTCATTCTCCTCCCCTCCCCTTCCTCTCATTGAGCCAAACATACCCTAAGGGAAGGGGGGTAGCTACAAAGGGGGGAGGGGGAGGGGGGAGGGGGATGATACCTTATTTTATTCTGATAAAAAATTGACTATTTTAACTTTATAAAATTTAAATGAATTTTCTCACTTTTTAATTTTATCAAGATATAACTACATATATAATGTAATTCACCAATTTTGACCTGCAAGACGCAATCATGCACTTATAGGATATCAAAATAAAAAGTAGTAAGTGATAGATTTCAATCAGAGAAAAGATCTTGAAGGTGAAAGAAAATATTGATAGCCTCTTGGAATTAGAAGAAGAGGAGAAAAAAAGAGGTTCAATAATGCTCACTAATTTTGGAGACAACTATCTTGATAACTTCTTACTAGATGTTTAAAAGAACTTTCTTATGCAAAAATGTTTACGACCGATTAGGGGTTAATAAATCGAAAGGATATATGAGAAATTGAAATATTTTAGTTAAGCTAATTTTGAAACTTAAAATTTTATCTCTTATCTCCCTCTAAAAAACCCTACTTTTGGAGGAGCACCTAAAAGGAGAGAGGAGGGGAGAAGAACCACCTGCCTCTTTAAAAAATATTTTAACCAAACAAGGAAAGGAGAGTAACTCTCCTCCTTTCCTAAAAAATTGCACCAGCTAAACAAGAGGAGGGCAGCAACTCCCCTCCCTTGCCCTCCATAAGTTCCATACCAAACATAGTGTTAAAGAGGACCTGAATCCACTTGGTTTTAATTTTGGGGAATCAAATTTCTTTTAAGACAATAACCAAACAAAGGACACATGGATTAAGAATTCGTTTGGTATGAGGGAAATAGAAAGGAGAGGAAGAGAGAAAAAATTTTAATAAGGTAAATTTGAAAAATTGGAGAAGTGTGGTTAAAAGCTTTTAATTAATTTTTATTACTTCTTATATTTTTTTTTTTGCTAGAATTTTTCAGCCCTATTTCTCCAATTTTTCAAATCAAGCTCATTAATTTTTTTTCCCTACCGTTCCTTCCATTTCCCTCATATCAAACAGTGTCTTAATGGAAAAAAAATGCAGAAGCAAATATCCATTGTCTGTCTACCTGTGTTATAACGGATTTGACGGCAGAAATTAAAAAGATGCAATAAAAAGGGGAGTAAACAAGGCCTAGGGACATTACTCAAAAGTAGAAGAAACTAAAAGGACCTCTGAATCAAGTTTCTTTAATTTTATTTAAGGAATGTTCAGTTTCCATCACTCAATCAACCAACTACATGAATAAGTTTTAATATAATATTTAATTTATTCATTTATATTTTTAAAAATTGATTCTTTTAGTGTATATTTATTGGATTATTGGATTGGATGTGTTTTGCGCGTATTGTTAATTTGCAGTGGCACGGGCAATTTCCCTGAAAGTCAGTCAACTCACTTTTTGAAACATCAGACAAGACCCAGATCCACTTGGGTACAATCAGAAGGGATCAAACAGCTTGCAAGATGGCAGCCGAAAAAAAAAAAAAAAGACACATGCCCCAATAGGAAATGTCCAAAAGGAAACATCCATTGTCCACTTGTGCTCTAACGGATTTGACAGCGGAGAAAAAAGGCCCTAATCCAAAACTAGACGAAATTATAAGTACCTCTAAATCAAGTTTTTATTAATTTTATTTAAAGGATATTCAGTTTCACACCATTTAATCAACCAAACTCTATGAATAAATTACAATTGACTATTTTATTTATTCATTGTTATTTTTAGTTCTTTACTAATTCTATTAGTGTGCATTTTGGAGATGTTGTGTATATTAATTTGTAGTTGCAAGTGTAATTTCCTTGAAAGTGGGTCAGCTTTCTCTTTGTCAAATTAGAGTAGACCCAAGTCCGCTTGCCTACAACTATTGGGCACCATAGAGCAGACAGCGTCAAGACAAAGTACACATGGACCAATAGAAAAGGTGGGAAAGTAAATATCCATTGCCAATGTGTGCTCTAACGGATTTGATGATTGAAACTAAAAAGATTATGTAAAAAGAAAAAAAAAAACTTAGGGACCTATTTCAAAAATAGATGAACTATAAGAACCTCCAAATCCAAATTTTCTTAATTTCATTTGAGGAATATTTAGTTTCCTGCCACTCAATCAAGCCAACTCCATGAATAGACCACAACTTAAAATTTAATTTTTTTTTCATTTATATTTTTAGTTTTTTGAGGAATTCTATTAGTGTGTATTTATGTGTGAATTAATTTGCAGTTGCATGGGCAGTTTCCTGGAAAGTCAATCCACTCAGTTTTCACTACTACAAAAAAGAGTTTTCACGACGCTAATTTACAACGGTTATTAGAAAAAAAAACATTATAAAAAATATGACGGTGGCATTTTTGTAATTATAGGCAGACTTTTAACGGCGGTTTTTTAAATAACCGTCATGAAAAATACTTTTAACGACAGTTTTTTAAATAACCGCCTTAAAAATTCTATCTGAATTTTAAAATCCATCGCGCGATAGTTTTCACTTTTCAGAGTCAGAGCTCATAGTCCCCCATATCATGCTCACTCTGTTTTCTCCCTCCTCCTACATTTGTCGGTGTTTATCCATTGCTTCTATCATTTCTGTCGTGCTCTTCCATCACCGTCGCTGTTGCTGTTGTTGTTGCCGTCGCCATTGTCTCATTCTCTTCATTCTTATTTGTGAGTTTTTCATCTCCATTCTTTCTGTGGATTTCATAGTTTTGTGGTTTGATATGATTATTTTCTTTAGTTAAAAATATGATGTTTAATCTGAGTTTAAAGAGATTTGATTTTTAGCAAATCCAAGCTTTTATTTTATCAGATCTAAGTCTTTGATTTTATC